GGTTATTAGAGAATTTGCTAGTTGGTTTGGCTCCAGCGTGGGATGCCTGGGCAGAAGCCCTCTGTGCCCCCGTGAGCCCTGGACCCCCAGGACACCCAGCGGGACACTTGGCAGACCGTGACACCCAGTATAGCCAAGAGGTAGATGGGAGTTGTGGTGGGTGGGAGAGCTGAGAGGAGCCGAGGAGGGTCGCACCCCCACCCAGCTCCTACTTGGCCCAGCCCTTTGTGCAGAAGGGCACGCAGGAAGGGCATGAGGCTCTAGGCAGTAAGCCTGAAGAGAAGCATTGGCACAGTAGTAGCCCTGACTACTACCTGTACTATGGTGATGATGTGCCACACCCCAAAGATTCCCTTCGTGGCTAGATGCCCCCCCCCCCCAGGTACCTCTGAGGCCTCCACCCAGATAGGGCCTCTGGCTCTTGGCTGTGGGGACTGCCTGGCATGTCTGCAGGCACATGGAATCAGGAGCAATGACACCTCCCCTTGTGAGGTTTGCTTTGCATTGGAGTCTCTGCAGTGCCAGATAGGGGGGCTCCAGACTGGTGCAGAGGCCATGTGCCATCAGGGATGGCGAAGATGAGACTGATGCTTACTGCCAGGCTCTTCACCTGAAGAAAGAACAGGGAAGAGTAAGGTTGGCTGGCAGGACAAGAGGAGCTCCAATAATGTCCAGCCAGGGGTCGCTTGGACAAAGGTAGTCTCCGGCCCCAAGGCATGCTGCACCAGGGTCACCACCCTCCTGGATCTTCACAATAGGAACGAACTCCTTGCAGCACCAGTAGAGCCAGCAGAGCCACCAGCTCCTGCACCTGTGGAAGAAAAGCAATCAGCAACCACCCCTAAGAAGAAACAGAGTGGTCACTGTGGGAGACTGAGACTCCCTCTTGAGGGAGACGGAGCAACCTGCTGTCCCGACCCCTTAGCCCATGAGGTCTACTGCCTCCCAGAGGCCTGTATCCAGGATGTAGCTGAGAGGATCCCGAAACTTATCTGGGCCTCCAACCATTAACTACCCCATGCTCCTTATCCATGTGGGTACGAATGACATGGCTTGGAGCAATCCCAGCCAGGTCATGAATGACTACAGGACTCTGGGAGTGGGGATCAGAGGGTTGGAGGTGCAGATGGTTTTCTCCTTGATTCTTCTGGTTACTGGTCATAGGCATAGGAAGGAGAGAAGAACTGTAGAAGTTAACAAGACTGCGGCGCTGGTGGCATTGTGCAGGCTTCGGCTTCAGCTTCAGCTTCTATGACCACAGTCAGCACTTGAGAGAGAGAGGCAGCAATTTGTTGGGAAGGGACAGCCTCCCGCCTCACTAGAATGGGGAAGGAGCTCTTCTTGGCCAGAATGGCTGACCTGTTTGACTGGGTTTTAAACTAAGTTTGCCAGGCGATGGGTGGATAACCACTGGTGCAAGCCCACCAAGCGTCAACCACAAAATCAGAAGGTCAGGCTGCACAAGCGAACTCACTCCTACCCCAGCCCAGGGCCGGGGCTCTTCTAGCAGTTCAGGGAAGCCCAGGGCCTCCAATAGCAGGCTCACTTGCCTATACACAAATGCCAGGAGCCTGGATAACAAACAGAAGCAACTGGCCCTTTTGCTAAGCAGAAATGACTCGGGCGCTCGAGTGAGGTACCTGAAAATTGGAAGAGGACCAGCGTGGTGCTTATCTTCAAGAAAGGGAGGAAGGAAGATCCGGGGAACTACAGGCCAATCAGTTTGACCTCAATCCCTGGAAAGATCTTGGAAACGATCATCAAGGAAACCATTAACAACAGGCTAACAGAAGGCAACACTCTGAGAGATGGCCAACATGGCTTCATTGCAGGTGGGTCTTGCTTGATCAATCTCATTTCCTTCTATGACCAGGTGACACATAATATGGACAAAGGAGAAGAGGTTGATATCATATATTTGGACTTTAAGAAAGCCTTTGACCTGGTGTCCTCATGGTAAAATTGGGGAACTGTGGCCTCAACAACCTTATGGTCCAATGGCTGAGAAACTGGCTCCGTGGATGGACCCAAAGCTTGATAGTGGTTGAAACCAAATCAACATGGCGCATGGTGACCAGTGGTGTCCCCCAAGGCTTCATTCTTGGACCTGCACTCTTTACTATATTTATGAATGATCTGGACTCTGGTGTCAGAAGCGGACTGGCTAAGTTCACTGACAACACCAAACTATGGGGAAGTGTGGTCACTCTAGAGGATAGACAATGTGTCTCTCTTCAGTTTTTCTCTCACCAGCAGGACATATATAACCTCTTCCTTTATGCTGGCTGCCTCAGTTTTGTCCTTGGTCCCTGCTCCTCCCTGCAGAGTGGCTTGCTTGCTCTCTCTTCCTCCCTCCTCCTTTGGCTGGTTTGCACCAACCATTTTCCCTCAGGTATTCTTCCCCTGGGAGATCAATTTGGACTTCTGCGGGGGTGGGGGAGGCAGGGAGATCTGCTCTGTCCTTTCCCCTGTCCCTGTTTACTGCTTGGGACTTGTCCCAGTCTTGGCAGCTCCCAAGGGTCTGGTGCACAGATCTTCAGGGCTTGTCCCCTCTGGCCATCTCTGGTAAGGTTTTTCCTGCTGGGGACACCACATGCCAAGCTCTCCTTGGCATCCTCCCTTCAAACTGCCTGCCTCACCGCCAGCCAGTCAGGGCTGGTTCTCTGGAGCATGTGTTCTTGTGCTACCAGGATTGCTGGCAGCTGTGTTTCCCCGTGCACTGGGGCCATGCTGTGTGTCCAGATCCAGACAGGTGAGTCTCTAGCCAGCATAGCTGTTGCCAAGGGAGCATGGCAAGGGCTGGGACCCTGCCCCTGCCACACCCTCCCAAACCACCAGTTGTACCCTTTCCTCGCAGCATAACTCAGATGTAGACTCCCAGTCTGTTACACTTAACCAGGTCAAATGCCCCCCACCTGGGGTTCCTCCTTCTTGCCTACCTGCAGGGGTTTCCATCAGAGTCAGTGGCTCACTCCAGAGTAGCCTTCTCCTGCTGCTCTGGTGGCCTTAGCAGGACTCTGTCAGTGTCTATGGTTCCAGGGCTGCTCAATCCCTGCAGCCTGCCCAGCATGGGCATTGTTTCTCCCACCTAAGGACCCACCTTCTCTGGGACCACCTCCTGCTGGTACCTGGTATAATACACACCATCCTGCACCTTTCCACAGGTACAGGCCCCCATTCTTAAGTCTCCTCCTTTTCAGACCACTGGGATGGATTTCTGCCTGTGCCTGTACCCTATCCCAGAGTCTCTTCAGCCCCGAGGCAATTGGGGCTCCATCTGAGCTGCAGCTTGGCCATCTCTATCTGGAGCAGGACTCTTGTCCACCTTTACCCCAGCAGGCCTGCCCCACAATATCTGTACATTAAACATGGCTACCACCCAGTGGCTTCACCAGGGCCTTCAAATATAATTGTCCCCGTGCCCCACCTTTTCCCAAACCTGTCCCTCCAAACATCCACGTACTTCACTGGTCTTGCCATCTGGAACACCTGTTTGAATTTCCTTCAGTCTACTTCAAAGCAGAGTTTCTTTATAAACACTAAGGTCCCCAGGGTCCCAGTCTTCCCACTTGGCACCCCCATGGGCTGGGTACCTGGATCTTTCCACACACTCTTGGCCAGTGTTGTCACCAGTTTCTTACTCATCTTTGACCCCTTTTTAGTTGTCCGTGAAGTCTCCACCCCTGTTACTGGTTCAGGGCTGCTGGTGGCACTGCTCCCTGAACTCTCCAGCATCATTCTCCACACAGACTTACGGCTTCCTGCTTTTGGACCCTTCTTCCACTTCCTTCTTAATTCTCCAAGCTCCTGCTTGTGCCTTGCTTCCAGCTCTTCCAGCTTTAAGTCTAAGCATTCTAGCAGAAGTAGTTTTAAAACTCCAATTGCTTTGTCTACTGCGTATCTCTTCCTTTGCTTTCTCTGGGAGTGGTGTTCTTGGCAGTGTCTTCTGACTGCTTCTGGATTTCAGTCTCCAGGGCAACAAGCTTCTCTTTCTCTGAGAGCTACCACCAACTTTCTTCTAGTATGCTCTCTACTTCTAGTAGTTGGATTTTCAACAGCTTGACTTCCCCTGCCTGGACTTCACTCTGCTGGCACCACTCTGTGAGCTCCTGGACTTGAGTTTCTAGGTCTTGGGTCCTCTGGCTCACCTCAGCCTTCTGCTCCAGAGCTTCTTCCAAGGCTTGAGCCAGGGAAAGTGCCTTGACCTCCTTCCTCCATGCTTTTGGCTTCTACACAGTCTTACTCTTATGCATATTGAGCAGAATGATTCCTCTCCTCTGTCAGCAGTTGGCTAAAGTGGGAGACTGTTCAGGGAGCACTGTCACCAGCAGCACCTCTGCTTGAAGTATAAAATGAAGTCAATCCCACTCCTGCTTTAGCTGTGCCCTTAATTTCTCCAGCTTGCCAACCATAGTGGCCTTCTCGTCAACTCACTGGTGCATAGCCTTCAAGTCTTTTTGCAGCTTCTGCGTGGTTTCCTTCACTGCTTCCAAGCTGCCCTGGGTTTCACTAGTCTGCTTCCTTATGTCTACTAGCTCCTTCTGGAGGGCTTGCAGCTCCTTCTCTCTCTGGTCCCTTTCAGCTTCTGCCACAACTACCTCCTGGAACTTTTTTTCCTTTCTTTCTGCCTCCATGACCAACAGATACCTCCACTCTTTATTTTTACACTCTCTGTTCCCTGTGGTCCTCAGTTGCCTTAAGGAATTTACCACAGCCTCAATCTGTTCACAGCCATGGTGTTCAGTCTTGAGCTGCAGCCACAAGTGTGCTGCCTCCTTAGCCATCTCATCAGAAAACAACTGGGCTTCTAACAATTTACATCTCAGCTCCACTGGAGTCCCAGGGTCAGCATTCACCTTTTGCTCCCCCTCTGTATTTCACCCTCTAACACACGGCAGAGAACTATGCCCACTCACTTAGCAGAGCTTCCACCTCCATGCTGCTACATTGGCAGGGAGGCACCAATGTGCCCTACATGGGTGACCTCTGTGGCGTTGCAGTGGCCATCCACACCTTCTACCTCTTGACCTGCCTGGATGAGACAGTGAGCAGCATTGCCACCAGTGCCCTGAAAGAGACTGACTGCAAGAGGTTTCTCCAGCAGACATGACCTGGCCATCTTACTGAGTGGCTTATTAGAAAGAGAGCTTGGCCAAGATGGCAAGGACTTTGCCTCACTGTGGACCCGAGCCTTCAATGCCACACACCACCTCAGGAAGTGCATCTGCTGCAACTGGATTTGGACTGAGGAATGCTGGAAGGTGGGAGTCTTGCTGCTCCTGGCCCCCAGTGCCTGCCACTTCATTGTGACCCCCCCACATGAGGACCCTCCTGGAGAGGTTCCTGAAGGATACCATCCAAGCGAAGTATGCTGACAACCTGAGGGCAAAATCTGACCAGGACAAGGTCTTTAAGCTCACCTCCAAAGTGGGACTCAAGCAACCATTTCATGCCCAGTGGGAGTTTCATTCAGTTCATGAACTGACACTTCATCCACTGTGCCTGCCTCAACTGCCTGCCACTCAATAGAATCGTCTGGTACAGGAACCATGATAGGAGGTGCCAACTCTGTGGCTACGAGGTAGAGACTCTCCCCCACATACTGTGCACCTGTAAGCCCCAAACCACTGTGTGGCAGCTGTGCTACAACACTGTCCGGGACTGACTGGCCAAGGCCATCCTGGCCTCAAAAGGGACACTGTCCATCAACTGCACCATCCCAGGCTGTGAGTCAGTTGTGCCCAGACATTGTTGTGACTGATGAGGACACATGTTCTGTGATGGTAGATGTCACTATTCCATTTGACAACTGGCGTTATGCTTTTTTGTCAAGGCCCAAAAATGGAAGCAAGAGAAATACCAGCCACTGGTAGACACCTTGAGGAGCTGGGGATATGATGTGATGGTCGAGGTGCTGATTGGTGGAGTGCTTGGAGGGAGCATGGGAGCCCAGCAACAAGTGTGTCCTGTGTGCCTGCCATGTATCCTGCTGCTACACCAAGCTGATATGGCACCAAGGTGCATATAAAATAAGTTTTATTGCCCTTTCAGTAAAGGTGCACTGATTAAAAGGAAAATTGACAGTATCAGCAGTCAGCTTTTTTCGGCCAGCACAGCTGATAATGTCATCGATAAATGCTGTGTGCAGCCACAGCACGCGCACAGCCAGGAATGCAGCCCGGCAGCTTGGAGAACAGCGTCTGGCTGGTAAGTCTGTGGGGTGTGGGGGCACGATTGAGTTCCCCATGGTGAGGCAGGGAGTGGGACTGGGGCAGAAGCAGGGTCAGCTACTGCCCAGCCACAGTGGAGCAGGGTATGGGATGGATCTATGGGTGGCTCATCCAGGGAGTGTGGAGGGGCAGGGAAGGGGGGCAGCTCCCCACTGCTGCATGCACCAAGGAAGGCATGCGGGGCCATATGCCCCCTGACTTGTGTATGGGGTGAGGGTGGGCTGCCCACTGTGGGGTCAGGGCTAGTGGCTGCATTGGCCTCTTTCCAGCAGGGAGGCTGGGCCAGGGCTGTGGACAGGGCAGGAAGCAGCAGTGCTGGGAGGGGGCACTACAGGGTGGGATATAGCCACCCCAGAACTCCCCACAGCACTGCTGCCTGTCCTGCCTCGGGTGCAGCCCATCCCAGCACCCCTGCAGGGAAAAGGTCAAAACAGCCTCTGGTCCTGAGCCCAGTAGGCAGTCAACCCTCACCCTGCACACATCTGGAGGGTACATGCCTCCTTCAGGGGTGTGTACAGTGGGAGGAGCTGCCCTGCCTCACCTGGCTAGGCAGTTCCTGCCTTTGTCCCAGCCCCACCCCCTCCCTCACTGTGGGGGCCTTGATCTGCCCCCCCGCCCCGACTTACTAGTCAGATGCTGCTCTCCAAGCTGCTGGGCTGCATGGCAGCTATCAGATCAGTATCAGGTGACATAGCTGGTTAATAATAGACCAAAAAAATCTTTATAGGTGCACCCCTACCCTTCAGAGCTGTAATGTGTTAATTGGCAACCTTATCCTCTACTATGTAGACCCCTGCTTGGGTCTTTCTGTATTTCCTTGTGTTTTGAGCTTTAACATTTTTTAATAAACTAAATTTTTGGGCACATGGGGAGGGGGTCAGGGCTGGCTCTGGCCTTCTCAGTGCCAGTCTGGTAGCATAGTACCTCAAGGCCTCATGACAGTTTCCTGTTGAGGGAACACCCTCCCCATCCCCCAATTGTGTTTTATAGTCATGCTCTGTCTTGACTGCATTTAATCTATTTCACAGATGGTTTCCATGCCTGAGCAGATACTGCTTTTGGCAGCAGTTTAATGATGGACGAGGTGCTCAGTGAGATTTCCTTGTATGCAATTGTAAGATGAGGGGCTTTTTCCCCCCCAGGCTAATTGGGGTACATTATAAAACTATTAACACTACACTAAAGAGGATTTGTTGAATTAACAACTACAGGCTGAACCTGATACTCATGATAGGTAGAGAAGGCTGTTATTTTGTAATAAAGGATATGGTACCAAACTTGCATGGAATAGGAAACTTCAAAAGCACATAAACTGGACTTTTTATTAGAAAGGCAGCCTGTATGAGAACTTTCACAAGTAATTAGCATTGATAAAGAAAACATAACAAACCAAAATAGACTTTATTAAAATTAAGCATGTTAGCACCTCAGTGTAACCTGGAAAAATGGAACAGTCCAGCAGTTAACCAGTCCAGCGAGCCAAACGGCTGAACATCCTGAAGTGCATTACAATGGTAGAAAAAATACCATGACTGTTACAACACGCACATTCTAAACACTCTCAAGCAGCTAGGATGCATAAATAGTCTCATTTACAATTCAAGAGAGAAAGAGACATTGTGCTGCCTTTTGCCTTGATGGAAGCATAAGATTTGACTGACCAAACAACATGTGCTAAATTAGGCACAATACAGCAAGCATGCCTGCTGGTCCTTCCCCCACCAAAACCTACTGCTGATACGACTTGCACAGAAGTCAGCACACTACACAGCTGTAGTTAGACCCAGTATCAGATTGGGAAAAATAAATAAAATGAAATAATGGTACACACTTAATACATGAATAGATCTGTAGCATCCTCATGGTCAACCACCCAAGTCACTACACATTATAAAAAAAGACCCATGCATCACATAGTTATCAGCTGTATCTGTGGAAGTCTCTAGCTGAGCTGGCTGGATACTCAATACAGGAACCTCCAGCTGCCAAATCCCAGATGCACCCTTCAGACTCAGTCATACCAGCTACAGGGACAGAATGAACTGGACAGTTGGCCAGGTAAGAGTGGGCCAGTGTTACAAAGATTACAGTATTTCCAAACTAAAGATACTTTTTACAATTAGAAAATATTTATAAAATTAGTAAAATCTTCAGCTCAGCCTACTGCGTGTAATGCACTCTAGTTGCAAGAGAAAGATCTCAGGAACCCAGATCTGTAGCTGTCCATGTCACTTGTTTCCACTAACTTAGCTGAAACACAAAGAGTCTGAGCATTTTCTGGCATAATTATAGGGCACACTGTGGTGAACTACTTTTTTCTAAAGCACATCACTGTCCAAATTCAATGGAGTAAATAAGCATCAAGATGGATCCATTCAGGTGTACCAGATCTCCCTCCCTCAAAACACTGAGCTCCCAATCTCACTGGCTTTTTGATAATCTGGGAACATATGAAGCTACAGCAATATCACTGTCCCCCTCCACAGTTTCTGGCTTCTTTTGTTTGTTTCTCTGTCCATGGAAATCTAGGACTGATACTGACTGGAACCAGAAACCTGCAACCATTCTACAGAGATTTGTTACAATGTTTCTCAATATTGCCTTGGAGCATGTAAAGACACTTAAATTGGTTGAGTATCTCCTAAACAGAGACTATTGGTCATATAAACTAATTTAGGATTGAGCAGGTAAATTAATTTCACTTAGAAAAATTTCATCCCAAGTCTTTCCAAAGACTTTTCCAATCAAAATTTCATCCCAAGGCTTATAAAACTCAATATTGCCTATATCCTCAGTTATATTAGATAGAGGCATTTTTAAACTAGTGAGATAAACTGTAACCAATAAATGTCAACAAGGCAAGAAACTACACCAGATAAAAGCAATCCTTATCAGCACTGAGAGGATCAAGACATTTGTAACAAATGTATGTCCAATGCAGAGAGAGAGAGCAAGCAAGCCCAAGAGAGTGCACAAGCACAAGAGCGCAAAAACTGTATGGCACATGAGCACTCTACTTTTGGGGATACTTTCACACTTGAAGTGGCAGACTCTTACAGCATCATTCATTTACTGAAGAAACGTATTACCCATAGAGGGTTTTTAAAGCTTTCCTCATACCTCTACTAAAGGAGGCCTTACAAAACACCATTTTAACACTTCTATAGAGCATACAGCGCCAACTGTGGTTTTAAACATGCTTTTTTTATGGAGTAGAGTCACTGCTATACAAGCTAATTTAATTGCTGATAACTGATGCTTGTCACCCTACATTTGCTTAGTAATAGCCTAAGTCCCATCTACAATAAAAAAAAAAAAGTTGCAAACATTTCCCCACTGTGGTCAAAATAAGGTTAGCTCATCCTAAAACAACAGCATTGGTACCCGCAGTGTAGGCAGAACACTGGTGCTATGATATGCCTGCTCCAATAAACTGGCAGCCAAAACTAGAGTGCCCAGCAGTGCTAACACAGTTAGAGCTAAAGCAGCGCCAGCAGCAGCAAGAAGGAGAGAGATCTGGTAGTGCAGACAGCACGATGGTGATTCCTCCCGGGGCAAGGGTGCGAAGAAGCCTTTCAGAGTCTGAGGAGCCCTTCCTTCCCTGCCAGATACCTCCTTGCTTGTCAGACCGTGACTGCAGCAGCACTAGCAGGGGCGGGGCAGAAATCCTCCTACTCCCGGGAGCCCAGCGGGGTGTCAGGAAACGAGCTGTCCTCCGGCGCTGGGTCGTTGCTGGGGTCCAAGCCTGGCTGTGCTGGGAAGAGGCGTTGCTCTGGGGAAGGGGCCGGGGCAGAGTCCTTCCAACCCGCCCCAGGCTCCTTCCCCGGCATGGCGGCACCCCTGCGGAAGGGGCCGGGCTGGGCCGGGCCGTGCCGGGGGAGTGTCCCGGCTCTCAGAGGCCATGGCGCTTGCGGGCGCCGGCGCTGGCAGCGTGCAGCAGGCGGTCCTTCTCACGGATCTCCTCGCGCAGCTGGGCCTCGGCCAGGCGCAGGCGGCGGATGCTGCCCTTCATCTCCTTCATCTTCACCTCCAGCAGAGCGATGATGTCCCGCTGCTCGTTCAGCTTCCGCAGCAGCTCCTCCGACGTGGTGCCCGACGACAGCGAGTACGAGTGGTCCGGGGGGCCACCCTCCAGCGGGCCGTCCTCGCCCAGCGCCCCCGCCGCCACCAGCCGTACGGGCACCGGCCCGGCCGGGGGCTCGGGCCCGAAGTCCACCTGCACTGTCAAGTCGATGGGCTTCACGTCCTCGCCTGCGCCCCCTGCCGGGGCCTGGCCCGGCTGCAGCTGCTGGGCCTCGGCGCCGTCCTGGATGGCGAGCAGCA